ATATATAATTACATATATAAAATGTTCAAATCTAAACTCTGTCAATGTACGAACATAACTAATACGAATACGAAGGCTGTACAGTCTAGCTTTTGGATCTTAATTACTTATATATATATGTGTGTGTGTGTGTGTGTGTGTGGGTGTAATTTAGCGTGAATTTATATACTGATATTTGTAGTCTTTCCTAACTACGTTATATATATACATATAGTTTATATAGTTATATATATATAGTTATATAATTATATAAACTGCGTATGTATATATACATACAATATATATATATACTCAGTACATAACAATATTACCAATGTATGCATAATTATACATTGTGTATTAATTACATACGCATATATATACATAATTATGTATACATTGTTATTTACTAAATATATACATATAGTTCAAATAATTATATAATTAGTACGTTCCAATGTATATACATTCTTACACATTGTGTATTAATTGCATAACATAACCACAAATTCTTTATTGACAAAAAATGCGTAAATGTTCTAAATAAGTTTTCTTCTTATTTATCCTATATATACGGAGAGAGATATAAGAAAAAGAAAACTTATATATTTTTAACTAATATCTATATACAATGATTGGGCCAAAAGTCTCGGGCTACCAGAATAATTTCAGAACGGTTCGAAATATAGGATTGAAATTAATACAACCGAATCAAAAAATCAATCATTGAACCCCAAAAAATATTCACTATACCATTCTTGAGGGAAAGGAGGGAAGGATGGCTTCAAAATCTTAAACGGCATATGAGGTCGTGTGAGTGTTCTCGAGATGAGAACAACGCGGACAGATTGAGGTCTCTAAGATTTATTTCGCAGATTTATGATTATTTGAACATTAATTGTTATTCAGATGAAGGAATTATATTTCTTGTGTGTGTGTGTGTGTGTGTGTGCGTGTGCGCGTGAGTGTGTGGCTGCGTGTCCGCGAGCGCGCGCTCAACTTTTGGTTTATCTTTAATTAAACCGGTTTTTTAGAAACAGTAAATTTTGAAATCAGATATGGTAATGCTAATGCCGACAGTATTGTAACTTTCAATTCCAATACATCTAAATAACAATGTTCAAATAATCATAACTTTGCGAAATAAAATCTTAGAGACCTCGATCAGTCCGTGTTGTTCTTGTCTCGAAAAACCCTTTCAAGTGTCCTTTCGGGTGCCTGCATTCGACCCCATTTGCCATTTCAGATTTTCTAGCCTCCTTCTCTCCACTCCCCCGAGAATATTTAGGTGGATGGCTTTACATATAAAGAAGTGATTTTGTATTTTAAAGCAGTTAAAAGAATAGACAGTATACAGAGTTCTAAAGCGAGTCAGAATGATAGAAATCTTAATCTGTAAGATCTTGAACTTTTACACTTATTGTTAGTATCTCGGTTCACAAGGCCAACCGCCGCTATTTTTGTCAGATTCTTTCATTTCGAGTAAAAACACGCCGAAAGTGTGTTTTTATCATCATTTTATCGTGCGGCTGTTGGCTTATGTAATAAATAAGAGATATTATTTCTTAAACTTTTTTTGTTCGAAACTTTTTAATATATGAATAAGGTCAAACGGTTAAAATTTATACCTGAAGACCATGACCTTGTCAATATATATCAAGATGTTTGGGAAATCTCTCCGAAACCCTATATTTATTGGTGAATGCTTTTGAGATTCAATGATAAAGATTTTATGATCCCATTGTATTTCTATTTCGATCCTATATCTCGAATCATTCAGTAATTATTCAAATGATCCGGGACTGTTCGCTGGCACTGTATATAACAGAACATTTTATACATATGTACATGGCTAATTAAAAAATATAGCTTAATCAATGTACAAATAATTAACATTAAATATTAGTACGTGTAATATTTGATGCATGCTATTACATTATTTATTGTATCTAATTTATGCTCAATTTCTTTATTTCAAGATTAGTTACAGATAACATTATTCACGTATTCTATTCTAGGAGATCTCTCCTGGATAAAGGTTGTTTGAAAGTGAAGAAATTGAGCTTTAGACAAATTCATTTCGATTTTTCTTTACTTCAAATATTATTGGTCAGTTCTTACATGCGAAGTACTTTCTTCACTTATCAATTTATATATATCCTTTAAATTAATTTTAAGAACAGATGCTATATCCTCCATAGTTTGTGGAAGCATCTTGGACTTCTTTTCTACAATAGCTGTAAACCCTGAGATCGCTTCTCCACGCGTCTGTTCCAATTTGTACAAATCGTGAAATATTGGACACGCAAATGTTGACGCACAATATTCGCGGGCAAATTTCAAAGCAGGGTGAACCATTACTTCCCATTCATTTCTTATGTACAAACTTAGCAAGAGGAACCTACAAAATATATGTGAAATATAAGTGTTGCCTATTTGCATATCAGTCTAAATATAGATTATCGTGTTTACCGAATTTGACATGTTTGCTTCTCAAGTGGAAATATAGAGTGTATCGACACTAATTTTCCAATCGGTAAAGCTATCGGCGATGCATATAAGTAATTTAAGAAATACATTTTATTAATATTGTCATATAATAATATTTCAGTCAACTCGTAAGAAAATTTGTCAGTCCTATCGCTCGTGATCCACTGTTGTGTTAATATGTCACATTGATTCTGCACTGAATCATACAGACGGTCATACATAGAAACTAAATTCAATTTGTAAAGCCACTTATCCAATCTAGATATTATTATCTAAAAAATATAAAAAATTATTGTTCATTAATTTAATGAATAAAAGTTACTGAAAGATTCTCATTATTTTTTCTTTACACGAAAAGATGTTACCTCAGGTTTGCTATTAAAATAAGAAAACAGATGTTCCTTCCAATGAATAGTGCTTATACTTTTATAACAAAATGTTTGCATATAATGCTTAAGATATTGTGCAAACACTGTTGATCCCCCTAAGTCCTTTTGTAAGGAATCCAATAGATAATATCCAACTTCATCAGGTACGGACTTTGTAATGTTCTTTGATCTAATTTTCCAATCGGTAAAGCTATCGGCGATGCATATAAGTAATTTAAGAAATACATTTTAAAAATATCGTCATATAATAATATATCAGTCAACTCGGAAGAAAATTTGTCAGTCGTATTTGTCGTAATCCACTGTTGTGTTAATATCTCACATAGATTCTGCACTGAATCATACAGATCGTCATACACAGAAACTAAATTCAATTTGTAAAGCCACTTATCCAATCTAGATATTAATATCTAAAAAATATAAAAAATTATTGTTCATTAATTTAATGAATAAAAGTTACTGAAAGATTCTCATTATTTTTTCTTTACACGAAAAGATGTTACCTCATGTTTGCTATCAAAATAAGAAAACAGATGATCCTTCCAATCAAAAGTGTCTATACTTTGATAACAAAATGTTTGCATATAATGCTTAAGATATTGTGCAAACACTGTTGATCCCCCTAAGTCCTTTTGTAAGGAATCCAATAGATAATATCCAACTTCATCAGGTACGGACTTTGTAATGTTCTTTGGCAAAATATCTGTCAAAGAAGGTACTAATTTCTGTTGAGAATCAATACCATATAGTCTCATCTGTAATGTTAGCGCACACAGTATAAAAAATAATGAAGTAGAAATGGAGAATTGAATGTAGCAGTACAAATGCATATATGTGTAAGTGCAAATTATATATTAATTTACTTATAAAGTCCGTAATCCTATAAACTTGTAAGAATGTAAATTGTTATTATCAATCAATCTATTCAACATATGGTTTTTATTTCAACATTTTCCATCTAAATAAAATTATTGTAATTTACCTTAATATTAAGATCAAAAAAGATTCTTTTTCGCATGAATGTAATTTGCTTCGTAAAACGATACCTAGATTGCAAGATTTTACTAGAAATGAATATACTAAAACTTTTAATCAACCACAAATGTTGGAAATTTCTACAAGTGACTAAACCTCCTGCCCAGCTTTGGGCAATTTTTCGAGCAATCGTATCACACATGAAAATGGGATCTTCATCTAGTAATGTTGATGACACAAATATCATGGTACGACATTGTAGTTCAATTTCTGGGATATTTGATGGAAGCACACATATATTGAATTCATCTACAATTATCATTTTTAATATACATTTATTAATAATAAGATTAAGAATACAGGACTGATAATTATCGAATTTGTTTTACATATAACTTGAAATAATTTAACAAATTTTGAAAATTTCGGATAGATTTAATATTACACTACTCAACAAAATTAAAACGTTACTTATTCCAACCTTCAAAAATACGTAAATTTTTTGTAAAAATAACTTCATCAAAAATCATCGTATCATATTTTTAGTATTTAAAAAACATTTTAATGCTTGAAATCTTTACTTTTCAGACCTGTACTTTAAAGGACGGTGTTACTGAAATTTCGTGAAGTTACATAAACATAAATGCGTCAAACCTATAAATTTTTTACGAAATTTAAGAAGTTCCACGGCATGAACTAACAATTGTGTAGAAGTGCAGTTCATATCTTTCGAAAGACAGAATCTTTACATTTAACTTGCTTTTTTGTGATCTTTACCACTGAGTTATTCAATGTTGAAGTAAAAATAATTTTTTTGCTTCAACATCGAATAACTCGGTAAAAAGAATATTGTACAACGATTACAAAAAAAATAAATCAAAGGTAAAATTTAAATCTTTCGATAGCTCTAAACTGCATTTTTACAGAATTTTTAATTCGCGCCACGCAACCTTACAAATTTCGTATAAAATCTTAAGATATGAGACATATTCATTTCTGTTTGTGTAACTTAATAAAATGTCGGTAAGACAGTTTGTTAAATAATTGTTCTGGAAGGATACAGATTTCAAGCTTTAAAATGCTTTTTTTAACATCTCGATACAATAATTTTTTACGAAGTTGTTCTATCTCAAAGTTTGACCATTTTTGCAGGGTAAAACAAATAATGCTATAACTTTGTTGAGTAGTGTATTCATACAATATTAACACCAACACGGTAAAAATTAGTGATCACTTTATAATATTAATATTAACATGGTGTAGATTTATATTCCTTGGTGTTGTATCAACACTGCTAATGTGGAAGATTATATCCACATCATGTTGGCATTAATATTAATATCAAACGAACATCTTACAATTAAATGTTATCTCTAATATGCCAATATTTTGTTAAGTGTTACTTTTAGTTATAACTGTTAAGTGTTACTTTTAGTTATGAGTGTTAATTTTAGTTATACCGATATTATAATAATAATTTACCTTGAATAGGAAAACCACATAGCTCATTAGTAATGTTGATGGCATGTTTACAAAATTTCAATACTTTCTTACTTTGCATAAAATGTTTCTCCTCAGCCCACAAAGTGATGAAGTTATTATGTTTTGATGACATTAGTGAACCCGCCATAATGATTATTGCATATGATGGCATTGGATTCGTTTCATAAAATATGTGAGTGCGATGGTCTTGGTCTCCCTTTATTATACTTTTACATTGACGTCCACCCACTATAATTCTGATTGCTTTAGATACAGAAATCTAGAAAAAAAAATTAAATTAATAAAAACTAAATATGCAGATGACCTCTGTATACAATTAAATAATAATTGTTAAACAAATAAAACTTTTATGTTAAAAAATGGAATAAATTTAATAAAGTCAGTCATTACAAGTTAGTTACTACACACCACAGATTACATTATATTCACATTTTTAACTGTCGAATTTCTAGAAGAAGAGCCATAACTAGGTAAAAGATTAATTTCTGAAATACTCTTTATCAAGAAACGAACGAATTGAATTCACAAAGACATGGAATGTCGATAAAGCTTATTTACTGATCATCAACAATGTATGAAGTTGCTACATTAGACAGTATATTGTTGCTCTTTTGATGCTATACAACATTTATAATTAAATTATTTTCGTATTTCTAGAAATAGTAAAAATATTCCAGGTGAAGAAAGTTCCTGTTCCATCCTGAACAGGCACTTTGTTCTCCTGGAATATTTTTATCACAGAGATGCTCGATATCGTGTGTTTTGTATTTGAACGGCGTACATAAAAATATTTTGCATTTTATATTTTATGGAAGTATATGAAGGTATTTTATATTTCAGTATTATTAATGAAAGATTGAAAGTATTTTGTATTTTGTATTTTAAATAATCCTTGAAATAATAAATGTTTTTACAAAAATATAAAAAGATATATATTATTAAATACTAAAAACTTTTTAAGACCGACAATTGATAAACAATAAACAAATAAGGAGAAGAAAGCTAATAACGGTCAAAGCTAGATCATGAAATCCCCTAAATCGCGTGCCGAAATTTTTTCAGACTTACAACGCAACACTAAACAACTACCGCAGTCATATCACTTTAGTTAAATTGAAAAGCAATCTAACTATTTTTTATGCTTACTGCATCTTATTGGATCTTATTTGTCAAGGCTGAAGACTTCAGCGTCGCGATTTATATATAGGGGGACTACATACGCAGTATATAAAATTCACACATAACTATAATAAGCATTGTATCCAGCTTTGACCGTCATTGGATTCCTTCTTCTTGTTGATGTTTATCAATTGCGGTCTTAAAAATATTCTAATATTTATTAATTATGAAGTCTGCTAAAATAAATTAAACTTGAATATTTCACGCCAAAATATTTTTTATTAAAAAAATAATAAGTGTAGTTGATGTGAGACGAACACTGAATAAAGTAGAGGCAATTATATAGACTTTTTTAGTTGTGCTAAATTGTACTACAACAATGTGCTAACAACTTTCTTTATGTCAAAATTTTCTGAGATCAACTGATTTCGTGAAATTAACGAAGTTATGCGTCAACCGTTAGGAACGTTTAGGAATAGAAAACTCAAAACCCGTGTATTTTAAGAAAATGAGGGACCAACTTCAAACGTTAATCTCTAGTAGATGATTCATTCGCTTTGTGCGGAATAGTACACACACATGTATCGAATGTTTTTTGTTAATATTGCATACGTGCGTGTGCAAAATCAATACAAATGATAACTACGTAATTTCTTACCTTAGCAGTGTATGTAAATCTGATCTCCGGTGAATCTTGGCAGGGAAATATGCCTCTAGCATTTGTAAACTAAAAATTGAGTAATTAATACTGTACACATTAATAGAATTTAATGTTCATTTATTGTACATTCATAGCTTACTTGATTGTTAGTTAATAGGAAGGGATGTGTGCCATCAGAAGTTTGATCACTTCTTAGCCAATACAGTGCAAGGGAATCTTTACGCGTTTTATACTCAATCCGAATTTTATAACTGCAAAATATATAGTTTATCGTCATATTTGTATCAATATTTTCTAAAATTTGTAATTTTTGAAAAAGATTTTTTACTTACTTATATACAAAATGAATCTTATCATCGCCATACTTATATTCATGTACCTTTTCATCATTTCTTAATGTCCGCGGTATCATAATAGGAAATGCCTCACTTCCAATATTATCAATTTCTTTAATAATATTATATACTAAAGCATTATCAGTAAAATCGTCCTTGACAGTTATCGTATTTTCCTGGAATCCGTAGGTATCTAAAAACTAATTGTTCGATATTATGTATTTATTTCAAAAACTGGAGAAACTGTTCAAAAAAAGGAAAAGTTTACTAACTATATTGTCACAATCAGCTTCGGATTTTATGAACAAAACTGCCTTTCCGTGAATAACTGTTTCATCAAAATCGATGAATAAATCTAAATCGGTATGAACTACTTTAGCAGTACCTAATAATTAAAAGATATTGGTAAAAAAAACTTTCAAAAATATTCAAATACTTATTATAGATATAATATACGTTAAACATAAAATATAGTATACGAAATATAATATAACGTTTTCAAAAACATAATATTGTACACAATTTCGTATTGTTTCTACGAAAGGTATTAAAAACGTTGTACTATTTAATATATATTATTGTGTATATAAGAAGATATAGTACTGCAAGTCATACAATCAAATAATTAGAAAATATGTCTAAAATATGCATGACAGTTTTACATTTCGAAAATATGCAAATAAAACTATTCTTACGTTTTATACATTTCAAGTCTGTCAAGAGAAGCATACTCAATATATATATATATAAATGCTTAATATTATATTCTCACAATTACGTAATTAAAATACCTGTATTTGCACAAGAATATGGATCTATTAATGTAAGCGGGTCCATATCTGAAAGATATTGTGTTAACCGTTCCACGTGGAAACTAAAAATAAATCTTTATTCTATTAAATATCCATAACATAACACTCCTTCTCTTACCCTATCTTCTTCTATGTCCTTTTTTCATGTTTGCATTTCTCATTGTTTAACAACATATTAGATTGTTTATCAGGAGAGGCAGTTTAGTGTCTCCGGCTATGTTCAAAAACTTAAAGACACTTCAAGTCTCTTATCCCGAGCCACGAAAGTCCATTTTTGGGGAGTGAATAACTACTAAAATAAAAAAATTTAGAATCGAACGTTATATGTCCTGAAAGACGGCATCGCCACGAGTAATTTGAGCCAAAAAAAAATTAAAAATCTGCCATT